ATATATATATATAACGCCTCGGTGACGTCGCTAGAAAAGAATAACGTACACATCGTCCTTTTTTCTTAATATATATATATATATATATATATATATTATTTTTATTATTATTATTCGTTCTGTCCGGTAATGGGCGGTCCGCGTACCGATAACCTCTCGGACCGGTATGCACCGCCCGTACCGGGCGGTACAGTCCGGTATTGCAGACACTGCTTACAAGTATATCTGAAGAAAGCTGTATGTGGCTAATAGCCTAATTGAATTGCATGAAACACATAGAAACAGTATGTGCTATTATTTTATTTTTTTCCACATTTCATTTGTTTTTTTATTAGATGCAAATAATTTCATGGTCACATATGTATGCTTTATGTTTTGTTGTTGAGTTTCTCTTTTTTGTCAGGTCAATGATGACCAGCTTGTTGTGAGGGATTCTGCTGGAAAATATATTGCTACACAATTTGTAGAGGTGGACAATATTACAAGTAATTTGAGGAAATTTTATGTTGAGGCTTACCTTGGAGTGTCATCAAACAAAACTTTGAATTATTGGCTTGTATTCCAAGTATCTGTGCCTCCAATGGGTTGGAACTCTTACTTCATTTCAAAAGAATCTCGAAAAGGTGGATTTCTATCATTTGGGCTTTATATATTTTTTGCCTTTGCTTTACATTGTAAATATTTTCTCTTTATGCGGTAAGCTTTTTCCTAGGGCAGATCAGAAAAAAGATGAATTCTTAACTTATTATTGACCTTGATTCTTGTTTTTTTGATTCACAAGTGGTTAAACCTTTATCATAAATACACATATTTAACTCCGTTAGCATGAATGGTTAAGATAATTTCTGATTGTCCATTTTTCTTCTTGTGAACACAGTAACGACTCCGAATGCATACACTTCTACTCATGCTGTTTTGGAGAATGAGACAATTGAAGTAGGGCCAGGACCTTTTAAAATTCAGTTTTCATCGATTAATGGACAAATGGAAAGAGTGATTAACCACAGAACAGGAGTGAGTTTGCCTTTTCTACAATCCAACTGTTTTAGTTTAGCATGAGTTGTTCACCTGTCAAGTTCTTCAGTATGGTAAATGTTAAAATGTGTTTATTTGTTACATTTCTTAACCATGGTTTTCTTCCTCATTGATTTGTTTTCACTATCTACTTCCATCGATGTCACATAACTAGTGATGTTAGTAGGGCCCAATAACCTAAAAAATCTAGAAGCAACTCAAAAAAATCTGACACCTTTCCTGAATCTGACTTGAAGTATGGATATCATGTGGATTTACAAGCTTATCGAATTAAGATACAGATCCTAGGTGGATTCGATACATAGCCAATCTCTTGGTAGAAACTGACTTGGTATCAGTGCCTATCTTTTTTTCCTCATCTTTTTTATTCTTCTAGCACATCTCTCTTTCCATGTCCTAACCATCATCTTAGTGGTGCCTAGTATATATATGAGAGTTTTAAGTTGCTACTTAGTTGATGTATGCTTCTGTAGCATGGACAAAGGGAGCATGTTTGAAAACCATAAATAGTGTCAGAAATTTTAGAGCATGACCTCTATAGTTCAAAATATCAACTGGATCCATATGTGCTGGTCTGATCACACACCATGATGGAACCATGAGCTCCATGCCACTTTGTCTATCATTTTTTTGGGCAATTTTCTAAGTAAAACATCAAGTTTTGGGTTTTTTCCGGATAGTGCACCTCACCAAAATGTCTAAAGCCAGCCCCTATTTTTAAAAATAATAAAAATATCCTTATTGACAGTTGATATTTAGTTTTTTGTTTCCTAACTAGTTAAATTGATTCAATGTTAAACCAAATCGGTTACAGTATTTTTGAATAGGGGGTTAGTATTTTTGAAAGAGATTATAATGTTGATTTTGGTTGCTGGACTACCCTAATTGTAACTCTTAATTAATTAAAATGACCAGGTTTAGGACAAATTTTGGTTAAATTTGACATAAAAATAAAAAAGCCTAGAGGTACTTTAAAGTCCTGAATATGACATTTAATAAAAAATTAATGTTATATCCCAAAATGATAACCTTCATCCAGGAGATTGTTTGAAATCCTTGAGTTGATTGTGTTAGGATCAATACGGCACTAATTAGTGCAGTAATAAAAGTTTTGTTGATTCAAAAATTTTTTTTCGATACAATCGTTTCGACAAAGCCTGTATCGGAAAGTAATGAAAATAATGATTTAAAGTAAATGCAAAGTGTAGAATGCAGCTAAGTAGTGAAAGAAAGCAGTAAGGAAAGAATACACCAGATTTATAGTGGTTCGGTCATTGTGACCTACATCTACTTCCGATTCCTCTTCCGTTGAGGTCACCGACGTCCACTAATGGTCTTCCTTCAATAGGCGAAGACCAACCACCTTCTTACAAAGCTTTCTCCTTCTTATGGGTTTAGGAGACAACCCTTACAACCCTCACACTTCTTCTCTAATGATTACAAAGCTGAAGAAAGAGGACTCTTAACGCTTTTTACAACACTTTTACACCCCAACACTTAAAGATTTTTTCACACTTTGTTATAGCCTTTGTTACCCTTTCATGCAGCAAGGAGTTGGGTATTTATAGGCGCCAAATGTTTCAGAATTGAAGCCAAAAAGTGTCTCTTCCCAGTTTTTCGGGGTACTGGCGGTATCATCGCCATTATTGGGCGATACTACCGCTTGACACTCTGACATTAGGTGGTACCATCGCCAGTGGTATCACCGCCTGACAGAGCCTCGGAGATTGGGCTCTGGTGGTACCATCGCTTGACAGGATAGTACCACCACCTAATAGCCTTTATGGCCAACGGTACCACCACCCAGTCTGGGTGGTACCATCGCTCAGTCCTCCTTGGAGGTTGAGCCTTAAGCGGTTCCACCACCCACCCTAGGCGGTGCCACTGCCTAGCATGGCTCCAAGTGGCTGAGTGGCCCGTACATCCGGCCCAACTCAGCCCTGTCTTGGGCTCAATTGGTCTCTAACTGAGTTAATGAGATTACATCCTAATCCTAACTCAATCTAAGTTCTAACTACGATAATTAAGGTATTAGCTAAGCAATCTTTGTCCGGTATGTCAATCGTTCTTTCGGTGAAGTCTCGATGAACTTCTGGTAAACTTTTCTGTATTCTTTTAGTAAACTCCCGACGAACTCTTAGCGAACTCCCGATGAACTCTCGACGAGCTTTTGATGAACTCCCGACGAACTCTTAGCAAACTCCCGACAAACTCTCGTCGAGCTTCCGGCACATCGTTCGAATCTTCGCCATATCATCCGATCTTTGACTCCGGCCCAATATCTGCTTTGCCTTATCCATTATCGTAGTTAATCTTGTAACACTTATCTCAACACATGGATTAGATAATTAATTTATCAATTGATTTCATCATCAAAATCCGAGATTCAATAATCTCCCATTTTTTGATGATGACAACCAATTGATGATAGAGTTAACTTTAACTCCCCCTATCTATATGTCACATCGAGATAAAATAAACTTGAATTCATAAGGAATCATAATCTTTGAATTCAAGTTAAACACTTTCGATCATAGTGATCCAATGCAATATATCATATCAAAATATCAATATGTTATGCTTTATTAAAACATGCACAAATTCAAAACATTACATTTCATCCTTACTTTATGTGATAGCAAAAATAAATCAACATCACTTTGGGTATATCATACATGATACTAATACATTAAAAATTTAAGCATTTATCACTTTATACATTAAATCAATATTTTGAACATGATACCATTCATCATTTCATGATACCAAACATTGATTATTTCTCATACTTAAATCAACATTTTGATACCAATCATCATTTCTCTCCTTTTGTCATCAACAAAAAGGAGCCATTCAACAATACAAGTGTTTAAAAGCATATTAAGTAAGTTTTACGCCAATTTATCTACGCTAGCAAAAATGAGAAGTTAAGTAAAAACTTTGCAAGAAAAACAAGAAGGTAGCAGTTTTGCTTTAGATGTGCATGAGTTTTTTGGTTCTTCTTAAGATGTGCAAGTTTTTTTCTTCCTTTGTTATAAAAAAAAATAAGAAGAACAGGAAAAAAAGTAAGGGAGGAATTCATTCTAAAAAAAATTAAGAACTAAATTCATGAAAAGATTTGAACCAAATGAAATCGATAATAAATGAGTTTCATTGAATCAAGCCTCTATTATCGCAAGGAGAAAGGATTCATTATAAAGGATCAAGATGTGTTTTTTAAAATTAAATCCCTATTTTTGCAAATGATTATCACAAACTAAAAGTCCATGAATAAAAATTCTTCTTTCATGAGTAAAGTGAGGAAGAATTCCTGGGAAAGGATTATCAAATAAAGAATCAAAAATCCATGAATAAAACTTCATAAATTAAATCTCTTTTCTTGTAAATAGAAAGACGATCTCGATTTAAAAAGAAAATTCAAGTTATGAAATGCCGAGAAATCCGAAAAAGGAATTCATGCATTTGGAAGATTTAATATGCCTAATTCTCTTCTAATGAAATCAAACTGTTCCTCATTCAATGGTTTTGTAAAAATATCTGCTAATTGATGCTTTGTATCAATAAATTCTAAAGATATGTCATGATTATTAACATGGTCTTTAATAAAATGATGCATAATATCAATATGTTTAGTTCTAGATTATTGAATGAGATTTTTTATTAAACATATTGCACTAGTGTTATCACATTTTATGGGTATGTTTTTCAAGTGAATTCCATAATCTTCTAAAGTGTTCTTCATCCAGATAACTTGTACACAACATGCACCTGCTGTTATATACTCAGCTTCGGTTGTAGATAATGCAGCCGAGTTTTATTTTTTGGAAGGCCAAAAGACAAGTGCATGATCTAAGAGTTGACATGTACCAAATGTAGATTTTCTATCTATTCTACATCCACCAAAGTCGGCATCGACATAGGCCATTAATTCAAAATTTTTTGATTTTGGATACCATAATCCTAGATTATGAGTTCCTTTTAAATATCTTAAAATTCTCTTAACACCTATTAGGTGAGATTACTTGGGTTTAGATTGAAATCTAGCGCGTAGTCCAACACTAAACATGATATCGGGTCTAGTTGCTGTAAGGTATAACAAACTACCTATCATACCCCTATATATCTTTTGATTAAAATATTCTCCATTAATGTCCATATCTAATTTTGTAGAACTGCTCATTGGTATATTAATAGCTTTAGCACTATCCATATTAAATCGTTTTAATAGATCTAATGTATACTTAGTTTGAGTAACAAAGATTCCATCACTAAGTTGTTTGATTTGTAATCTTAGGAAAAATATTTATTCCCCCATTAAACTCATTTTAAACTCTTGGCTCATACATTTAGCAAAAGACTCATATTAAGACTCATTCGAAGAACAAAAAATGAAATCATCAGCATAAATTTGAATAATAAGAAAATCATTTTCAAAATATTTTACAAACAATATAGTATCGACCTTGCCTTTCATAAAATTATTCTTAATTAGAAAGAAACTAAGTCTTTTATACCAAGCCCTTGGAGCTTGTTTCAAACCATAGAGAGCCTTAGACAATTTAAAAACATAATTTGAAAAAGTGGTATTTTCAAATCCAGGTGGTTGTTTAACATAAACTTATTCGGAAATAAAACTATCAAGAAAAGTACTTTTAACATCCACTTGAAATAACTTCAAATTATTATAACTAGCATAGGTAAGGAGAATCCTTATAGCTTCAAGGCTAGTCATAGGAGTGAAGGTTTCTTTATAATCGATACCTTCTTCTTGGTTGAAACCTTTGGCCACTAATCTAGTCTTGTTTCTAACCACGATACTAAGTTTATCTTGCTTGTTTCTGAAGACTCATTTAGTACCAATTACCAAATGGTCACTAGGTCTAGAAACAAGCTTCTATACATCATTTCTTTCAAATTGATTTAATTCCTTATGTATTACAATAACCTATGAATTATCTTTCACGGCCTCGTCAATACAT